GTGCCTTCAGACAGCCTGGAGCAAGCACCCTAGACATGCACAAGCTACTTCGTTTCTCAGGTGGTTAGCTCTCTAAAACTGTGTTTGTTTCATTTTTGACCCTGCTAATTGTCTAAACAGGAACATCCAGTTAGTGCCCTTAGCCGATAACTCTGATCTTCTTCACATCTTCGTAGATGCTCAGGCTGTTTCCAGTGTAACTGGTGAAGCCTCCAGCCCCTTCCACAGCGTTGCTTTCCATATGGATAGTGTTAATCCAAGTCCTCACTGCAGGCTGAAATCCCAGGCACAGCATAATTACATTTAAGATTTAAAGGGAAAAAAATTGCAATTGTCAGGATGACCCTCTTGGGCATTTGCTGGGATCGCTTGAGTTTGATGTCTGCAGCAAAACTTCCACTTCATCGTTGTCAAAATGGTGTGAAAAACCCTAGGTTATACTACGAACTAGATGGGACTATCCTAGGATAGTGCAGCTGTCCATCTCCTGCCTCGAGACAAGATTACTATGGCCTATGTCGTGTTTAAGCTGTTTGCAAAGACCTCCATCTCTGCCAGTGATGACTGAGGAGTCCTCAGGCTATTCTAGGCTATTGCAATGGAGGGTATTTGGACATGTGGATTAAAGCCCAGCCCTCTGAGATAGGCTAGGACACAATCTCCAGAGAGAAGGGGTAAAAACCTGACTGTTGTGATCTGGTCTGGTCTTCTTTTGGAGCACGGGGAAGGATAGGGGATCAGTGCTCTCGTCGCCAGCTGAAGAGGGGTGGGAATGGACGGGCCTATCTAATCAGCAGTCTCCTCCATCCTAGATCTTGTGATCTTTGAAGTATCGAAGTACTCTTGGCCCAGTCCATCAGCATTTCACATTTAAGATGTATTGGACCATTGGTCTCTGGCATAACTCCTACATCCATGTTAAAGCCGGTGGCTTAGCTTGTAACACTTCTCTCTTCCATTTTGCCACCCAGGTACCTAGACCCTGAACTCAACTGGACTTGAGGTCCAATTGAGCCTCCAGCCTCCAGCTAACAGGAAACACGTAACTCACCTGGTGCTTTGCATCCCCACTCCTAACTTCCACCCCACGCATGTGTGGTCACCGCAGGCGCTGGTAAACTTCATATAACATCATCTGGCCCTATGACATACAGTAGTGTCTGCGGGAGTGGCTCTGGGTTTGTTTTTTCTTTCTTTTGCATGAGTTCAAAAGATTTGGGAGCCTTTATTCATGGTTGGATGATAGGGGAAAGAGCTGTGGACAGGCGGCTTTAATTGTCCTTCTCAAACCAGAGGATTGCTGGAAGCTGGTGGTTGCTGGGTCTGGACTGCTACAAAATTCAACAAACTGCTTTGAAAGAGGGGAAAAAAAAGTCTTTCTTTCCTGGTACATACACCGCTGAGCTGGGGGAGGAGAGTTTCCCTAAAGAGATGCAGTTCCCAGGGCAACATAATACTTGAAATTTATTCTGTGGACCTGCACCTGGGACGTTTCCTACACGGTGGTTTTCTGGCTAAATCATCACTTTTTGGGAGTATCGGCACTGCTGAGCACTTGCATTTTTCATATTTTCATGGCATAGCAGGCCACATCTTCCCAATTTTATGCAACCTCCTTATCCTTTCAGAGAAGAAAGTATTTGGATCCGGGCAGCAAAAACCCTGGCATTGGAGCTCCTGGCGTGATTGTACTGACAGGCCCTGGAACAGGGTCTCGTTGTGATGTTAATTAGTATCTATTGACCCGCTCCGCTGTTCGGATGCAGTGGGGCACACACGGGCTCTCAAATACGCTTATGTAAGGAGCAGCCCAACTGATGTCTGGCTCCTGCCAATAAACTAATTGCTTTTGCCGGAACCGCATCTCTGCTGGGAGAAGAGCTAGAAATCAAATTCTGGCTTCCAGCGAAAATCATGTGTTCCTGATATCCAGGCTCAACATTGCATCTGTAATCATCACCTTTTCTGCATAAATTTCATCCAAGTTTGGATTCAAAATCCTTTTCTGGCCCTGTTCATAGAGTTCAATCTAATTTTTGTTTCAAGTGACTTACTGGGGTGGATAAT